GTGCTGAGTTCGGAGGAAGTTCCTTGATACCTGCTGAGACTGGAGGGCAGATAAAGGCCCTACAGAGTCCAAAAGTTCTGTTAGTAATGCTGACACTAAAAGGTTTCTGGTTAAAGATTTTCCTGGAGGCTACTAGAGCTCTCAGACTCACATTGGGACCATGGACATTTAGATAGCTGGCTCCCTCAGGAACTCATGGAGTAATATGCCTGTACTTTGGGCTCTACCCTTGAAAGACATGTTAAAATTGCCTGCCTGACTCCTCAGCAGCCTGAAGATATAAATGGTAAAGCTTTTAATACATGAGATATATTTTGGTTCATAAAATGTTTTAACACTTTTGAGGTTATAATAGGTTTACTTGTACTCTGAACATCTAAAAAATAAAATATTTTCAGATTATATTGAAAATTTAAGAGGAAATGCACATTCGTAACAAATTAATATTATCCTTTTGAAGACTTGCATTATCTTTGGTGCCTTTTTAAAATGTGTAGCTATATCTGTATTTATAAAAGATTTAGCACCATGAATTAGATTCTACCACTAGGTCATCTGATCTGGACTGATCCGTAAAGGTGACATCACCTTAATGCCTGGGATTCAGGGTCCTTCTTGTTTCCTGATCCCTGTGACCACCCTTGCTCTCATCAGCCTCTGAAGATAAGCATAATTACCTGCCTCTCCGGCAAACAAAATTAAACAGAAAGGGCCCTTTGAAACAGAGACATAGGAGTGGCCTTAAATTATTAAAGAGCGTTATTACTAATGAATGCACTTCTGTGAATGAAGAAGCCTTCACTGCCAGTGTTTTGCATATAGTTTGCTGGGGAGTCAGAACTGGAAGTGAACTCTACACAGGAATGCTACATCTGGAAATCTGCTATTACTCAGCTTTTCCTACGTCCCTAACTGCCGAATACTGCAAAATACTGGACGCAAAGGATTCTCCAGGGAATCTAAGGAAGGTGAGGACCTAACCTGTGGAGGCAGATAGAGGCATTGCTGGCAGCACTGGGGACTTCAGGTCAACCTTGGGGGAGCATTTCTACAGCAAGAAGGACTCTAACCCAACGTCTTTTGATAGAAATCTTCAAAACAAATCTTACCATACTACATTCTGGCAAATCTGGTATTATCACTATTGTCATCACTTTTTTGAAGAACTAACATATTTTGTTTTTGCAGTAGTTTCTCTCTCTGTAGACTGTTATTAATCTGACCAAATAACGTTTGCTTTAATTCATTCATTCATTTTGTGAGGGGAAAAGAGCTATTTACAATTTAATGATCATGCAACATTTTCAAAGAATTTTAAACTGCTTATGTTAAGGACTATCATTTTTGACCACATAAGGATCATGTAGCATGACCCATTCTTTTTGTTGAAAGTATGTTAAGAAAGAGAGAGAGAGAACAGTTTCATATTGAACAATAGTTGCAATATAAAACTATTAACAGGTAGCTAATTGGGTCCTTTTGAAAAATAACATTAAAAACTGAATTCTCTCTGTGTGTGTGTGTGTGTGCGCGCATAAATGTGTGTATATATACATTTATTTATTTATAGTATTTAGAACCAAATCTTCAGAAATCAATACTGTGAATACTTAGAACTTTTGAAGCATTATGATTTTAAGAGTAGAGTGGATTCTTATTTCAAAAAATGTAAATTTTATGTGAATATCAAGCATAATCTGAAGCTCTCAAATGTTTAAGTTTATAGTAAACTTTATGCTAAATAATTCTACATATTACATTTTTTATCAAGTACTATCAAGTCAAAGGGAGCTCCGGTAGCATAGTGCTAAAGCACTTGACTGCTAACCAGAAGGCTGGCGGTTCAAACCCACCAGCTGCTCCTCGGAAGGAAGATGGGGCAATCTACTTCCATAGTGATACTGCCTTGGAAACCCAAGAAGAGGTCGCTATGAGTCAGGTCCAACTCGACAGCACATAACAACAACAACAATCAAATCAAACACCTTATCATGTTATCCTGCTGTGAGATTTCTTTGAAATACACATGAATATTCATATCTAAGGGAGCTCTGGTAGCATAGTGGCTAAGGCACTTGACTGCTAACCAGAAGGCTGGCAGTTCAAACCCACCAGCCACTCCTCGGAAGGAAGGTTGGGCAATCCTACTTCCGTAGTGATACTGCCTCAGAAACCCAAGGAGGGGTCGCTATGAGTCAGGGCTGACTCGACGGCATATAACAACAACAACAACAACAATTCATATCTGTGTGTGTGTGCATAGATATATATGTGTATGGATATTTGAATATAGATATACAGATGCATCTATGTATCTATACATATATTTAAATACTTCTCCAGGAATGCATGCCTACAAGTTTGGCCAGTATAAGAAGCCTCTATTCTTTATTCTCCCAAGAGGTTTGACAATCTCCCTAAACACTGTGGATTCTTTGTTCCCCAGGTAAAATGACTCTTTAGTTGCCTTTTTGTTTCTCCCATTCTTTCCCTCCCCCCATTCCCCTGCAAGACGTTTTGTTTAAAATATTGACTCATTTCTAGTTACAAGAATCCTCTTGCCATCTGTCATTCCAGGAAATTCCTGAAATGGACCTCGATAAACAAGGTGAGTATTACTGTCAAGTTTCTGTGCACAGTTTGTAAACAAAAAATATTAGGCACATATGTTGTATTTTGAAATTTCTAAGTTGCAGAAGAGAAGATATTTGGTAAATTTCTGGTTGGAAAAGAAAATAGACTTTTCTCTCTGTTCTAAAGAGAGATCAATAACTAATTGAAGAATATTTGGTCTACTTTCTCCTAAGCACCAAAAAATAATTGAACGAAAGAATTTCAATCTCAATATAATTATATTTTAAATTGCTATTCAAATGCACAAAAGTGGCTTCTTTTTATTTATCTTTGCAGGTTACTATTAAAATGACATCACTGTAGATATTTTAATGTCAAGGGTGAGTTCCCAGTACTATGTGATCCCAAAGTTAGGAGAAAGGTCTCACAGTTGTCACTCTAGGAATATTTGATAAATTGATAGGAAGAAACCCTTTTCTCAGACAATTGCCCTTTGTTGCAATATCTTTGAATGCCAGTTTAGGCCCAGGACTGATCTGTGACATTGTTATTGCTGGATCTATTTGTAGCCTTATTCCCCTAGCTAAAATCTAGATTGTTAATCTTACATCTCTTATACAAAAATTCCATAACATCTCAAGTTATTTATGTAAAACATTATGAATGGTTCAAATTATCTTTGAGTTTCCAGGATGTGGGCCCTCGTGTTAGGAAGCTAAACACAAAGTAGCAGGTTAATCTATTGCTCAGTTTTCTCGCTGCAGAGTGGGGATCCCAAATGGAGAGTAGAATCAGAGTCACCCGGAGGGTTTGTTAAATTGTTAGGCTCCACCTGTGGAGTTTGTGGGGCATTAGTTCTGCAGTGGGGTCCAAGGATGTGCGTTTCTAACAAATTCCCAGGTTTTGCTAATGCTGTTCACTTAGGACCAAACTTAGACAACCACTACCATAAAGCATCCTTTTTTGGACTATGTAACCAGACAACAGGCAGTTGTTGTTGCCACTTGCTGTGGTGTTGAGTCTGACTCATGGCATCTCTTGTGCAGAGCAGAACTGCTCCACAAGGTTTCCAGGGCTCACCTTTCAGAAGCAGATCTCCAGGCCTGCCTGCCTTCCAAGAATCCTCCAGGGAGGTTCGAAGCCCAATGTTTAACAATTTGTGCCACGCAGGTGCCCTTAGTGGACAATTGAAAGAGGTTTTATTACATTCATCTCAACATCTATGAAAAATGGCCCATTTGTTTGACTAAGCAAAAAAATAAAGCATTATTTAAACCAAATTGCTTCCACAGAAAAGAACATATGTAGCTTGCATTATTATTTTGTTAAGCTCTAAAGCTACTTTGCTCGTAGCGTTGGGCCTGATGTATCCAGAAATGTCTTCCTCTCTTGAGTTATCTCCCACCAGAAGGATGAAACCCAATGCAGCCTTGAAGCAGGGCTGGCAGGGAGACTCAGCTGGGAGACTCATTTTCTGTGTTGCACCGACTCGCAGCTTGCCATGCTATGCTGCGTGGCTTGATCAGATGACGCTGCAGAACATAATTTCACAAGAGTGCAGAGCACCAGATGGTAGAGCAGCTCCCGAGCCGCCCCTCCGTCAAGCAGCACCTGGGAAGCCGCAGAGCCCCTGTCCTGCTGATTCTCCGGGTCTTTTTGGTGCATCTGGGAGGAATCAGGGCACAAAACCTGGCCGATTTCCAGGGGAAAACAATGTTGGGCATTAAACTTCTATAAATTATTTCCATACTATTATTATGCTTATTTTCCATTTGTTTTCCTTCTCCAGATGGAATGCAGAGGCATTTCTTAACTTCCCTCTTAACTCAAAGATTGGACTCTTATCTGAACACTAAGCATTTTTTAAAAATAAGGAATTACTAAATAACATACGATTTAGAGCAAGTTACAAGAAGTACAAGTAGTAGATTCCTTAGTATGTTTGCGCCTCTTTGAAAAGATGTGGAAGGTCCTTAGACAAGATGGCTTCTTTTGGTGCCAGTTCTGGTTACCTAGTGCCACTCTGACAGGAATATACAACAAATGGGATGACCTTAAGAAACAGGAATTTATTCTTACAATTTGGAGGCTTTAAGTCCAAGTTCAAAGTGCCAGGCTCTAGGAGCTGTTGAAAGCCCCTCGACCTTGAGCTTCAGCTCTGCTTCTTGCTCCCTGCCCACTAAAGCTAGAGGCATCTCTTTACTCAGGCAATTACTGGCTGCTGAGGCTAACAAGCCCAAGGTCAACAAATAAAATGGCACAGTCCCGATGTTACCAAACCACACGGAAGGCCATTAATTTAAGTCCATTGTAAGTCCCATGGTCAGCAGAGCATGGCAGGCTGCTGAATGACGACACGACTACATGCAGGACCAAGCGTGCCATAAACTAGAGACCATTCCCCAAGGTTTCTGCTTATATACAGAAAGCAGACCACATCCCTAAAGCAGCTACTCAGCGGTTCACGGTAGATTCCACCATGGAGTTGATGACCAGTCTTATCATGGGGAGTGCTACATCCAGCTGCCCAGCCACTCAACCAGGCCTAGCCAAGTTGACACACAAACTTAACTACCAAAGTGCCATTCTTTAGACACAGATTGCATATACCTGAGATGGGGGTTCTCAACTCCTGATCATAAAACAGTCACTGATGCAAGCTTCAGAGAGAGGCCTGTGGTGCACTCTACCTCCTCAGGAATGGGTCTGCCTGGCTCAGCACGGAAACTCCTCAGTTGCTCAGTATAGTGCCTGGCGCTTAACACCCACGTGTATAATGTCTGGGAAAAGGTCCTTAGGTGGCACAAATAGTTTGCACCAGACTACTAACCTAAAGACTGGCACTTCAGACCCACTCAGCGGCATCACAGAAGGGCCTGGCTTTTTGGTGGAGCAGTGCTGCTCTGAAACACATGGGGGGGTCGCCATGAGTTGGAACTGACATGATGGCAATGTTGGATTTTTGGGAGTTTTCTGTTTTGTTTTGTTTTTGTAGCTAGGACTTTGCTCCAATTTCTAAACCAAAATTAAGTCAATGTGGCTTGGTATGAAATTCAGACTGAGTCATGTTTGGGGAAGAGCCATTCCTTGGAGACAGACAGAAACCTGTAAGGTTTTTATCCTGATCATATGGTGAAAGACCTTGATTTTTTATAGTGGCCACCGCTTGCTATGTTCATTGCCTTTGGCTTTTGGATCGACTTGAAGGCATAAACTCCATGTCAAGACTGAACATAGAAATCCTTGCCGAACCTAGTGCCTGGCCTCCCTGCTTATGCTACACAGCCACTTCTTCTTCTGTCTTCCTTATTCATTGTCTGGAGGAGTCGTTGCCACCTTTGGGTGGGTTCTCTAGTTAGGACATCTCAGAGAGATGCTCCCTAGGGTCACTTACAGCTCCAGGGTCCTGTGAGTCTACTATTATTTGTTTGCAGGTCAAACAGAGAGCTTTAAGCCTTGGTTTTCTCACTTGCAAAATAAAGGTAGGCTGTATGATCTCTAAGAAGTCCTGGTGGCACAGTGATTAAGCAAATCTGAGTGGTCTGCAGCTCACACCAACTGACCCATGGGAAAAGGACATTGCAGTGCTTCCACAAAGATTACTACCTAGGAAACCCCATGGGGCAGTTGTACTACATCCTATAGGGTCACTATGAGTCAAAATCGACTCAATAGCAATGGGTTTGTTTTTTGTTTATATGATGTCTAGGATTCCTTTCCGGGATGTGGGATTTATATACCAAGACCATCCCTTATTCATACTAATTCATGTTTTCTTCACAGATGCTCTTAATAGTATTGAGAATTCCATTTATAGAACAGCTTTCAAATTACGATCTGTGCAAACTCTGTGTCAACGTAAGTACAGGTTCTCCTGGAGCATTTGAAATAATCTACTTCTGATGTGTGATATAAAATTCTCAGAGAAAGCAAAAACTCCCTCTGTGTGAGTGACCCCAGGACAAGTTACCCTACCGTAACAAAGAATATTGTGAGGAATATTCCATGTGCATCCAGCCCCTGGGTGGCTCCACTGACTAACGATAGAAAGGGATTTGTTTTTTCATTCTTCCTGCTTGGTTTCTGGAAATTTTTTGTTTCATTTTTAAGATACCAATATGGACACAAAATAAAATAACAAACTAGTTTAGAATCTGTTCTTCAAGATTTAAGTCTGAAAATTTAAAATTTCTCCACATAACCAAACGCACTGTGGTCAAGTTGGACCAGACTCATAGCGACCCCTTCTTGGGCTTCCCAGGTGGTATCATTACGGAAGTAGATTGCTCAACCTTCCTTCCAAGGAGTGGCTGGTGGGTTTGAACTGCCAGCTTTCTGGTTAGCAGTCAAGTGCCTTAGGCACTATGCTACCAGAGCTCTTAAACAGTCAAAAGTAGGTCCAAATAAATAATCCATGGGCTGTCAGTTTCAAAACAATCTTGAGAATTCCTTGAAAACCACCACTTTGCATTAACTTTTTATCTGAGTCAGTGTTACAATTTTGGTAGCACAGTGCCTAAGGCATCTGACTGCTAACCAGAAGGTTGGTGGTTCAAACCCACCAGCCACTACATGGAAGCAAAACTGGGCAATCTACTTCCATAAAGATTTACTGCCTTGGAAACCCAATGGGGGTCACTATGAGTTGGAATTGACTCCACGGCAGTGGGTTTGGTTTCGTATAGTGTTATTTAGGCAAAATAAGGTAAAATGCAGTGAAAAAAATTTATCCTGTCAAATGCTCCAAATTGAAATTATATAGTACCCACTAATTAGTAGTCAATGATTTCACTTTGGAGCGTTTTGACAGGATAAATGTTTTCATTACATTTTACCTTATTTTGCACAAATAACACTATACCAAACCAAATAGGAGCTCTGGTGGCATAGTGCCTAAGGCATTTGACAGCTAACCAGAAGGATGGTGGTTCAAACCCACCAGCCACTCCTCAGAAGGAAGCTTGGGCAATCTTCTTCCATAGAGACGCCACCTGGGAAACCCAAGGAGGGGTTGCTATGAGTCCAATCGACTCAATGGCAGTCAGTTTGGTTTTTGGTTTAGTTATTATATATATATATATATATATATATATATATATATATATGGGGCATTCTGCATATTTAGAGTCATTGATTTCCCATAAGATCTTTATGGCATGAAAAAAGTGCCATGTGAGATGGTTTCTGACACTTAGACTACTGTTGTTACATGTATGACATTTCTACTAAAGGTTAAACTTATTCTATGCTTTTCCATCTGCCTGATAAGTTGTAGAGACCAAAGGCTTTCAATAGTGCTTTACACAATGTGAGGGATGTGAGGCTGTGCATTAAAAGGTTAGCGAGGTGAGAAAGTGGGAGGTAGTCAAGTTAGAAAGGCTCAAGGACCATCCCTTCAGCAGGAACAACTCTGCCTTTCTCTATTGTACATACTGTGCTTCTCTATGCACCTTCCTTTGGAAAAAGACTTCCTGGCTTTTAAAGGACATTTATAAAATCACTGATCTAGACAAATAAACCTACATATGACTATTATTTCTTATCCCAGGGATCAAAAAAAGGCAGAATATGATCACTCAAAGTTTACTCTCAATTATGTTATTTTCTGGGAGAATTTCTCCCATTAAAGAAAATGTTTACAAAAGTCTCCCTAGGAGTTCCTGATGGTGCACACAGTGCACATGGTTAAGCAGTTGGCTTAGTAACTGGAAGGTTGGCTGTTCAAACCCACTCAGAGATGCCTTGGAAAAAAGGCTAGCTGATCTGCTTCCAAAACACCAGTGCCACGAAAACCCTATGGAGTGCCGTCTACCCTGCTATACATGGAGTCTCCATGAGTCAGGGAGACTTTTTTTTTTAATTTGTATGCATAATTTAAGAATGTACAGTTTTGGACTTTTTGTTACCACTGGCATCAGAAGCACTTAGTATAAATAATACTCATGGGAAATATGAACAGTACATCAAATCAGTAGTTGAAAAGTTCTACCTAGAGAGATATGGGAACAAAACTTTGAAAACAACAACAAAATATCCCAAACACATGGCATGAGCTCTAGGGAGCAGGATCTGGAGAGCATAAACCTTGTGGGGAGATGAGTGGATGCTACCGTTACCTGTTTGTCGTAACAGAGAAGTCTCAGCAGAGTTTGTCTTCTATTTACAGAATGCCAGGCAGAGGGGTGGGCGATGCTGTCAGATAATGGTCAACGGGTTTGCAGCCTCTGCCAGCTGCAGCCCTGTTTTTATTCACGTCACACTCCCCAAACCTGCTCCTCACTTGCTGGGACTCCTTAAAAGCAGTATCAAACAACAAATAAACATTTTTATTATACTTGCTAGATTTTTTTTTATCTGCGAGGTTGATTTACGAAGTAGAGAGAAGCATGGGTTTTACTATGTTAGAGGCTAAAGCATTTCAAATGCCAGCGGCTCTTGGTGCTGCTGACATCCCCACCTCTCGGAGAGCAAAAGTGTGTGTTTATTAATTTTGCCTGTCATACTCTCTTGTCGAGAAACCATAGGGTTGGTTCCATTTCATTCTTCCTGCTATTCATTGCCTTGTAAAAGTTTTAGGAGAAAGTGTTAAAAAATATATAAGAAATGGTTAAACCATCAGTTTTTTGTAAGCAACTCTGGTTTTATTGAGTGCCTTCCCTAGTTAATAATACCGATAGAACCAAGATGGAAAAAAAAAAAAAAAAAGATATTACTGAGGCAAGGAGCTCTGGTGGCATAGTGCCTAAGGCATTTGACTGCTAACCAGAAGGATGGCAGTTCAAACCCACCAACCACTCCTCGGAAGGAAGGTTGGGCAATCTACTTCCGTAATGATACCACCTTGGAAATCCAAGGAGGGGTCATTATCAGTCAGAATTGGCTGGACGGCAGAGAGTTTGGTTTTATCTATTTATTTATTTATTTTTGAGGCAAGGATGGGACCTAGAGTCTGATACTTCAGCCATTGCCACTTTGTAAAGATCACTGTGTTTTCAAATTAGGTTATATTGTTCTTCTTGCTGCTGGGAGGTGCCAGTGAGTCTCTTTGACTCTTAGCAGCCCCATGTGACAGCATAGCAATGCCCCATCTGGATTTGTTGGCGGTAATCTTTGTGGAAACAGATCACCAGGTCTTTCTCCTGTGGAGCCAATGTGTGAGTTTGAACCACCCAACCTTTTTGTTAGCAGCCAAGTGCTAAACTGCTGTGCCACCAGGGCTCCTTTAAATTACACTGTAACATACTATATTCCTTCTGGAGCTGGGCTAATAGTTCCTCTCAACATTTATTTACATGAATATAAATAAAACTATATTTGAACAAGAAATGTCAATTTTCTCAATACTCTTAAAGAGTATTGAGAAACCGTTTCTCCTAACTTTTCATTGCAGTGCCCTAAGTTGCTTAAAACAAAAACCTATTGTCACTGTCAATTCCAAGTCATAGCAACATTATAGGACAGAGTAGAACTGCCCCATGGGGTTTCTAAGGCTGTACATCTTTATGGAAGCAGACTGCCTCATCTTTCTTCTGCAGAGCAGCTGGTGGGTTCAAACCACTAACCTTCTAGTTAGCAGCCAAATGCCTTAACTTGCTTGGTAGGCTATTTTTTCAAGCTTCTCACTTCTCCTTTTAACTTCATTCTATAAAGCAGTCATCTTGGAGGTTATATTGGTAATAATGTTACAACTATGCTTAACTAACAGACACACTTTTCCAAAATCAAATTGACTGTCAGAATAGTTGTGCTTGAATTATACTCAAGAGATGGGGGTTTAAACAATGGTCATATTTAATTCTCTTTAAAAGAAAATTGCTGCCATAAAAAGAAAATCTTAACTAAACAGTGGATGGCATTTGCTTTATTTGAAGCCTTTTGTTTCCAGTCAGAAAATAAGATTCTGCTCTCCACTTGCTTCCAGCAGTGGACTTGATCGACAGCTCCATGATCCAGGCCCTCCTACCATGCCAGCACTGCTCGGAAGCCAGGGAGAACTCCCTCTCTGTGCAGCAGCTTTTCCAGGCCCTGCAGGAGTTGTTTGAGAGAGTCAGGGTAGAAAAACCAGGACAGTTGCATCCTCGAGCTGCGGAACTCACCCTGAGCCTTCTCACAGCGATGTATGACAGGTGAAGATGTGGGTGCTGGTCCTGGAACCTCAGGGGCAGTATTTATTCATCACTGTTATTAATATGGTCTAATGTTTAGAGAAAAACCTAGTGATCTGTTCCTGTAAAGATTAAGCCTAAAATGCCCTATGGTGAAGTTCTCTGTCCTATACGATTGCTATGAGTTGGAATCGATTTGACAGCTTCCAGCAACAACGTTTGCTTGGGGTACCTGGGTGGTACAAACAGTTTATGTGTTTGGCTGATAACCATAAAGGTTGGAGTGTTCATGTCCACTCAGATGCCTCAGAAGAAAGGCCTGGAAATCTGCTTCCAGAAAGCCAGCCAGAGAAAGCTCTATGGAGCCCAGTTCGACTGACGTACATGGGCTCACCATAAGTCAGAATCGACTTGATGGCAACTAGAACTGGAATATTTGTTTGGCATTTGGTGTAGAAGACTTCTTTGTTTGATTGATTTCCATAAAGGTATTATGCATCAAGGAGTGGAATGGAGGCATACGTAGTTATCAAGAGCTCTGGTGGCGTACTTATCAGCTTCACTAAAATATATTACTACTGTCGGAAAAGTGGGAAAAGAAATCCTGCATTACTTTTTCTCTCATACAAATTAGTCTCCACTCAAGAGAAGCATGTACCCTTTTGCGAGGGTGATTACACATCTGTACAAACGATCAAGTACCCTTTGCCTTGGAGTCCCCTGTTGCCTCCTTCTTTGCTCATTTGTTTGTTATCTGTTACCAGTTGTTTTGTGTTTTGGCTGGAGTAAGGATGAATGTCCTTTGCACGGATGGCTAACCTATACCAACGAGTCGACCTGACTCATAGAGACCCCTCTGGGTTTCCGAGGTGGTATCACTATGGAAGTAGGTTGCCTAACCTTCCTCCTGAGGAGTGGCTGGTGGTTTTGAACTGCTAGCCTTCTGGTTAGCAGTCAAGTGCCTTAGGCACTACACTACCAGAGCTCTTGTAAGGATGAATATCCTTTGCATGGATGGCTAACCTATAGACCAATTTAGGGCAAGTCAAAGGGCTAATCCTACCTGCTCTGGAGCCAATAGTTATGTTTATTAGTGTGTGTGTGTGTGTGTGTGTGTGTGTGTAGGAGCTCTGGTGGCATAGTGTCTAAGGCACTTGACTGCTAACCAGTCAGACTGCTAACCTCCAGAAGGCTGGCAGTTCCAACCCACCAGCCACTTCTCAGAAAGAAGGTTAGGCAATCTATTTCCGTAATGATACCTCCCCAGAAACCCAAGGAGGGGTCGCTATGAGTTGGATAGGACTCCACGGCAGTGAGTTTGTTTTTTTTAAAAAACGTGTGTGTGTGCATGCACACGCACATATGTACATGCATGTACACACATGTATGTACTTCTCCATGTGTTTCACTGCACTGTGGGGTTTACCATTCCTCTGCCCCATTTTGTTTCTCTTACATGGTCCTGACCCAACAGGCCTCATCTTTCAGAAGAGACTTTTAAAAACTCTCCAAAACTAAATGAAACTCAATGCTGTCGAGTCAGTCCCGACTCATAGCGACCCCCCCCCTTGGGTTTCCGAGGAGGTATCTCTACAGAAGTAGATTATCCAATCTTCTTTCCGAGGAGTGGCTGGTGGGTTTGAACCACCAGCCTTCTGGTTAGCAGTCAAATGCCTTAGGCACTACAGCCCCAGAGCTCTCAGTGAATGCAAAACATTTGGAGAGTGTAGAGGGAATAAAGAAAAGAAATATTATACACAAGCCTAACTCTCAGAGCTCTGGTAGCATAGTGGCTAAGGCACTTGACTGCTAACCAGAAGGCTGGCGGTTCAAACCCACCAGCCACTCCTCAGAAGGAAGGTTGGGCATTCCTACTTCCGTAGTGATAACTGCCTCGGAAACCCAAGGAGGGGTCGCTATGAGTCGGGGCCGACTCGATGGCAAACAACAACAACAACAACAACTCTCAGAGGCAAACAGTTTGTTTAATCATTTGGCAAGTTCCTTAGAGTTGTTTTCTTTCCCAGTTTATTTATTTTTTCAATGCTCAAAATATAAACCCATTCACATGTAATTTTTTAATGATCTTCAGCCTCCTTGAACATTAGACTTCTAACTGCCATTTCTACTACCAGCATCTGCCTCTAACAGTCTTCCTGCCTTGGATAAAATGGTTTTATAGGTTTGGAAACTACATAATCAGTGTGAAAGGATTAAGCTCTGAGTGAAGACTTATGAACTGGTGGATTTTCTTTCTTTTTTCTTTTTTGCCTGCTTGCCTTTGGGTCCTTGTCTCTGTTGTTTGGTTTCCAGGCAGTTGAGTTCTAAGTAAGTGATATTGCCTGCTCCCCGAAGACAGAGTTTACTCCTGTACCACCAGTGCCCAGCACTGTGCTTAGCAATAAATATTGTTAAACAAATGAGTGAATGAATAAAAAATGGTAAAATGGTTTAATTCAATGTATGTGTGTGCATGTTTGTGTGTGTATGTGTGTTTGTGTGCGTGTGTGTGTTGTTAGCTGCTGCTGAGTCCCTTCTGATGCATGGCGACTCCATGTATCACAGAAACTCTGCTCAGTCCCACATCATGCTTACCATCACCATTACCATCACCAGCGTGCTCTGGTCCACGGTCATTGTCATCACCAGCGTGCTCTAGTCCACGGTCATTGCCATCACCAGCGGGCTCTGGTCCACGGTCATTGCCATCACCAGCGGGCTCTGGTCCACGGTCATTGCCATCACCAGCGGGCTCTGGTCCACGGTCATTGCCATCACCAGTGTGCTCTGGTCCACGGTCATTGCCATCACCAGCGGGCTCTGGTCCATGGTCATTGCCATCACCAGCAGGCTCTGGTCCATCATCGTGGCCACTGTGCCAATCCATGTCACGGAGGGCCTTCCTTCCCTCGTTGGCTCTGTTTCATCAAATACAATGTCCTCCTCCTGTAACTGATCCCTCCAATGTGTTCAAAGCAAGCGAATCAGACAGTGTTCTGCTGTGATTCATGGGATTCCATTGGCTAATTTTCAGAAGTGGATCTGCAGGCCTTTTTTCCTAGCCTTTCCTAGTCTGGAAGCTCCGCTGAAACCCATCCACCGTGGGTGATTCTGCTGGCATTTACAGTGCCAGTGACATGACTTCCAGCATTACTGCAATATGCAAGGTGTCACAGTACAACAGATTGACAGACACGTGTGGAATTCAATGCTTAAGTCTGTCAAATTCTAGATTTAGGAACAAAAAGGTCACAGAAAGCTGGAATTTGTAACAGCATGTAAGAAATGTCTATTCACAGGCTTTTTTGAACCGTGTCACCAAGGGTAATGCTGCACTTCCCATCCTTGCCTCTGTTTTGTTGTTTGCAGCATGGGAACGGGTTTTCTCCAGCTTGCACCTGCAGCTGCTGCCCTGATTGCGCTCTCAGGGGACGACCCTCTTACAAAATACAGAGGTAACATACGTGGGAGTTTTGAGTGTCTAAGCGCAGGGACCCCTAAATCTCCAATCCCTTACCTTCTTCATTCACTCTGTGTCCCCACCACCACAGCTGTTCTTCAGCATGTACTCAGCATGACTCACATGTTTGGTAAGGGAAAATGTTTAAGGTTCAGAGAATTTGGAATTTTTCAAGATGTCTAGCTATACTTTCTAATTGTTACTTGGTTGTTCTTCATATTCGTTTGTGTAGGGATCATTCAGACACTGGTCATAATTATTCCTTTGGAACTAGGACTATCCTCACAGTGCTGTTTGCCAGCCTTGCAGCCTTTACCTTAGATGTGCTGAATTACCAAGAAGTTGAAATGTGAATGGATTTGCATTAGTTACCAATTTATCTAGTTTTAGAGGCCTTCAAACTAATAAGACAATCATCAAGAATATAGCTTTCCCTCTCCTTTCCCTTCATACCCAGAAAGAAACTAGAATTCAAAGATATATTGCAAGTATTCAACTTAAAGATTTCTTTTCCCCTTAATGTGTCTAGCTCTTTTTCAGCTCTATGCAGGGAACAACAGGGAGCACTATGCATCTGGGGCACGCATGACTCGGAAGATTTTGAGGAACCTACTAACTGATCTACAGCAGGTAAATTCCTAATACTTAGGAATTCTAAATTTGTTTCAGTTATAATAACCATATTTGTTATTAAAGAACCTGATTTTTATTGTGTTAAATTTACCTTTATGGAGCTCTCCACAACCCCTCCCTTCTATAGCCACCACTGTAGTCTGAACATATATATATATATATATATATATATATATATATATATAACATTCACTCCTGATCCAGTTTCAACTCATGTGACTCCATGTGTGTCAGAGGACAACTCTGCTCCATGGGGTTTTCAGGATTGATCTCTTAGAAGCCGATCACTAAGTCTTTCTTTCGAGATCCCTCTGGGTGGACTCCAACCTCCAGCCTCTAACTTTCACTTAGCAGCTGAGGATGTCAATCATTTGTACCTTGTAGGGACTCTGTTTAATTTCTACAGAGGTATAAAGTAGCCTAGTCAAGGATATCTCTATAGGTTCAGATAATCCCTATTGGAAGATATCCAGTGGTCTCTTTTGTTTATTCATTTTTGCATTTCATTTTTCCTTGTACCCATTGTACAGTTTTCACTCCTGAATATCAAAATCCTCACTGTGCCTGATATGTCTAAATTCTCCATGCTTGCTTTCTATTGTTCCTTCTACCAGTAATACCATTACTTACTCTTCAACTTGACACATTCTGTTCATATTTCATCATCATTGAAATCAGTCAGCTCTTCATGAAAGACTTCATTAACCCTTGTGCATATCAATGTATGTAACTTTGTTAGAACACTTGTCAAACTGTATTGCAATTATTACCTAGATGTAACACTCCCTCACTAGACTGTTTCTCAAGAACGAGGATGATATCTCATTTGTGTTTCTATCCCCAGTGTCTTGAGCAGTGCCTGGTCCTCGAAGGCCTTTAATGGTTGATGTATGTATAGATGAAATGCAAAGCTAAATGCTCAAATGGTTAAGAGTTCCATTATTTCCTGTGTGTTAAGAATATGCAAATATGATATAGTTTCTATACTTACCAGGCAAGGGAATTTAGCCTCCTTACAGTAAATATGTTCGTTAAGTGTTAAAATGATGCAAATTGGTGTAACCAAGCAGGAACGTCTGCAGTGGATGGAGATGTCTAATTAGTTTCTGCTCCAAAGTACCTTTTACCCCTGTTTCAAGCATGTCCCCAGTCTTCTTCTAGCTCTTATAAAATCCTTAAACTAGACTTTTTGCACTGTAAATCAATAAAATACTCATCAGTCATTTTTAGTCATTTTGCTCCTGGGTCTGGACCAAGGATTCTGAACTAGAGATAGTCATGATGGGTAGCAGGAAAAGATAAAGAGGAAGATTATCAGAATCTCTTATTGTTGTTGTTAAATGCTGTTGAGTTGGCTCTGACTCATAGCGACCCCGTGTGCAACAGAACCCTGTGTACTGCCTATTCATGCACCATCCTCTCAAACCCTGCTATACTTAAGCCCATCGTTGCAGCCACTGTGTCAATCCATCTTGTTGAAGGTCATCCCCTTTTTCGCTGACCCTCCACTTTACCAAGCATGATATTCTTCTCCAGGGAATGGTCCCTTCTGACAACATGACCAAGTAGGTGATTTTTGCTTCCAAAGTGTGTTCCAGTTGCACATCTTTGGGACAGATTTGTTGGTGCTTCTGACATGCTTTAGAACAGGGAATATGATTTGGAAAAACTTATCCAAAATTAACTTTGCTTTGGTTTGATTATACTATTAATATTTTATATCAATTTTTATTTTAATATTTTTCTGGAAATTCCAAATGGCATTTAATATGTCCCTATTTTTTAAGTGGAACAATGACTTTTTACAGAATTTATAGAGTGAAAATGTTAGGCCTAGTAGTGCTGCTTCAACAATTTCTCTCAGAAAGATCAGCAGAAGGCCGGTCCCCATGAGGTAGGTTAAAGATGTCCCCAGTGACCAAACTACTGTGCCACTCCATCATTTCAGACATTAACTCCTCCTCCTCCTCTCAGTAATCTCCCCCATCTTAGAGTTCTGTATTTTGCTGTAATACCTCACAGAACTCACAGACACCCAAGGGATCGTCTCACATAGTGGTAGTGGAGGCTGGCAGGCTGGCAAGTCCCAGGTCTGTAAGCAGGTCTGGAGGATCCTTCCAATTCTCAGGGTTTGACAAACCTCAACGAGCAGATCAGATGATGGCTGCTGTCCCAAATCCAGGGGTGAGGTGATGATGAGCCAAAACACAGAACTGGAGCAAGAGGAGGGTGAACCTTCCCAGGAAAGTCATAGGTATACCCTCAAGGAAGCTAAGGATGTGATTTGAGTTATACTCTCCAGCAGGGCAGGACTCAAGATATATCCCACCTATGTTGCTCCAACAGAAGTAACCCAAGTGGTTGGCTTTAACAATCAGCAGCTACTCAGTTGCCCAAGGCAAATCCCACTACAGAGTCAATTGCCAGTCATTATAGGGAATGACTACTATCAGCTGCCCAGCCAAGTTGATACCTGACCTTAACTACCACGCCACCCCAAACAGGCCTGGATAGTAGGATTTACAATACATCGCAAAATGGAGGACAATGGCTAGAAGGGCCACATCAAGCAATTCACTGCAAGTGCCTAAAGCATTTGACTGTTAACCAGAAGGCTGGTGATTCAAACCCTCCAGCCATTCCTCGGAAGGAAAATTGGGCAATCTACTTCCGTAGAGATACCGCCTAGGAAACCCAAGAAGGGGTGGCTAGGAGTTGGCTCTGACTTGATGGCAGTGTGTTTGTTTTTGGTTTTGGGTTATTTTTGGTAGACACTCCAGAACTGCTCTAGTAGTTAAAGCAAAATCCAGACCCATCCACAGCTTTCTGCTGATTCTCAGGCATCTCTCAGGGAGCCATGGAGCACAGGTTCTTCCCCAACAACCTGGAATCTCAGAACTCAAGCTGGTAGGGAGCCAGGGAGGGCAGGGGAATCTGTCTCTCCATTTCTGCCACCAGGCTTGAAAGACCAGAGTGTTCAGAAAGTTGCTGTTGTTGGGGGCTGTCGAGCTGATCTCCGCTCACAGTGACCCCATGTACCAGAGGAGAAGTGCTCCATAGGGCTTTCTAGGCTGTAGTCTCTACAGGAGCAGATGGCCAGCTCTTTCTCCCTTGGAGCCGCCGAGTGGGTTCACACTGCCAACCATTCAGGTAGCAGCCGAGTGTTTAACTGTTGCAGCAGTGGGACTCCTTGTTTAGAAAGTGAATGTGCAGAAAGGGGATGGGCTGAGGGGCATTTTCCTTCTCATGCAGAAATCTTTGTGCTCTCCTCGTGACCCTGCAGCTGGCCCCAGGCCAGCAGTCCATCCAACAGGCCCTCCATGTCTGCCCTTAATCCAGGCTCAGCTGAGGTCAGTGAACTGCTGAGTTGGCAGTTCCGGAAGCTCTCTGTCCCCCTCATACATTAGTATGCTCCCGAGAAAGCTGTTAGGAATGTTGATTTACATAGCAAATTATCATCCCATCAACTTCCATTATGAATTCAGAGAGAGATTCCCACAGAAAATTCCAGGCCCCACTATGTGATTCAAATTCCCCCTAAAAATCCTAATTGTTATTTCAAGTAGCGTTCTCCCTGTGCCAGTATGCCATCTAGCCACATTTAATTCTCCCATAGAACACCTGCAAGAAATTAGTCAATTGGGCAATTAATCCATAAAATCTTTGCGCACGTACTTAAAACCAAAATGTAGGTTAAAATACACCACAGAAGGGAATTTTCTTTTCACTAGTGTCAGAATCACAGAGCTGGTATGAGTTTGTCCCATCTGATCCATCTCCCTCATTTTAGAATGAGATTCAACCCAGGGCTCAAGGACACCAGAATAATGTGAATGTTGAATCACAGTCTATGCCAGTGGTCCAGTTACTTCATCAGCACTTGAAGGTTGGAAGATAGACGATGATTATTTTACAGACAAACGCCAGATAACATGTGGAATAGTTATGATCTAAGGGTGGCAGGATTATTACAATTTAAAATGCAAGCCATCTTGTCCCCATTACACAAATGTTTGTTGACTTCTGCCTGGCTAATTGTCAGCAAAGAGGTTCTAAGTGCCACTTTCCTGATTAGAAGAACGTTTATTGGAGTTGATGGACTCAGCAGGGGGATCTTTGAAATTACCTCTGAGGTTGCTGGCAAGGCCTGCTGACAGCCTGAGTTATAGAAGACATCAGGCTTGCCATTAGATCCCATGACAGGAAGGGAATAAGTGGAGGTGACAGCCACACATATTTGAGCATATATACAATGTCTGAGCCAAGTCCCTGGCTATCTTGGCAGTCACAGAGGTTCTTAATCCTTAGTTAGAATCCTTATGGTGACTGTGGTTGAAAGAAGGAAACCATGGAGTCAGGTAGTGTAGATTGAGCCAATGAAATAGATTTCAGATCAGAGTGTGACAAAGCTTTGTGAAAACCCTGGTCAAAAAGTAAGGAGTCCTGGAGGTAGACTCCAATTCTGCTGTCAAATCTCAATCATCCTTCACTTTAAACAAGGGTAATGATCACCGCTCTACCCTCAGAGATTGGCATTTGTTAAAATGAGATGATGGGAAAGCATTTGAAAAGGTCTTCTTTAAACCACTACAAACTTTAATACAGCAGCTGCATGGTTATCTGCATTTCATAGGTAAAGAAGAACAAAGAGAAGTTAAAATACTTTGACATCATAAAGAATGACACAACCAAAGCCAACCCTCCGTAACCCAATTACCAGACTTGCTCCTGTTGTCTTCCTTCCTCCCTCCCACCAGCCCCACTTCCTAGCACTTGTTCATCCGTGGAAACACTGCACAAAAGCCACACATTACCTTTGATATCTTGGTTTGAGACAGCTTCTCAGTCTCAGCAACCCAATATCTGTGACTCCTTGGATATAAGCACTGTCACTCAGGTCTGCTGATCCTGGTGGCCACGTATTTCTCCATTTGCCAACAACTGACATGAGGTCTCTCCCCTCTTGCAGATCCCAACTGTAGTAGGGGAAAGTAGCGTTCTTTGTTCTGTGGAAAGTGCTACACAGAGCTGTTTCCAAGGGGTGAGTACATTGTCCAGGGAGTTGGGGATAGACATGCCTGAGTCACGTTCTGAATGATTTAAATTGTTGTTGTTATTGTTGGATGCCATCAAATCAGTTCCAACACATGGTGACCTTATATACAGCAGACCAAAACACTGCCCAGTCCTACACCATCCTCACAATTGATTTACGGTTGAGCCCATTGTTGCAGCCACTGTGTCAATACATCTGGTTTAGGGTTTTCTTCTTTATCACTGACCCTCTACTTAACCAAGCATGATATTCTTCTCCAGGGATTGGTTCCTTCTAATAACATGTCCAAACTACATGAGAAAATGTCTCACCATCCTCACTGCTAAGGAGCATCATGGCTGTGCTTCTTCCAAGACAGATTTGTTCATTCTCCTGGAAGGTTTAAATTAGAGACCAACACGGAGCTCTGGTAGCGTAGTGCCTAAGGCACTTGACTACTAGCCGGAAGGCTGGTGGTTCAAACCCAGCAGCCACTCCTTGGAAGGAAGGTTGGGCAATCTACATCCATAGTGATACTGCCTTGGAAACCAAAGGAGGGGGTCGCTATGAGTCGGGTCTGACTCGATGGCATATAACAACAACAACAACAACATTAACCAACACAGCCTCCCAGACAATCTAATTTAGGAGGTAGAGTTGCCTCCAACTTTTCATATGATAAACTTCTTTGGCAGATCTGATAACAATAGAGCCAGAGGCAAAAAAAACCAAACTCACTGTTGTTGAGTTGATTCCAACTCATAGCGACGCCTCCTGGTGTTTCTGAGGTGGTATCTCTATGGAAGTAGATTGCCCAATCTTCCTTCTAAGGAGTGACTGGTAGGTCTGAACCACCAGCCTTCTGGTTAGCAGTCAATTGCCTTAGGCACTCCACTGCCTGAGCTCCCAAGAGCCGGAGTAGATGGAAATAAATTTTTATCTATACTAGAGACCAAAGGCATGTTTTAAAATGCATCTGAGCACATTACTGTTTTTCAGGTGTTGAGCCCAGCAATCAAAGAAGAGAAATTCTTAAGCTGGTTGCAGTCTGAGCCACCCATCCTCTTATGGCTCCCCACCTTCTACCGATTATCAGTCACTGAGATGGTCAGTCATCCAGTTCGGTGTAGTATCTGCAGGAACTTCCCAATCACAGGACTGAGGTACAGTCACTCATCAGCATTGACATTCTCTAAATGTGTCGGATATTAGAGATATGTCTCTCTAGATTCTTGCTGAGGTCTTTCTGTCACATTTACAACTCAGTCATGGCTTTTGGCGCAATAATTTTCTGTATGAGGGCATTCTGGTGGATAAAAACTATATTTTATTTTCTATAATTGATGGAATATTGAATTATTTCACTGACATATCCTCCTAAATTCAGACCAATGGAAATTTTTGTTCCTCTATGGGGAATTTCATCAAGTTTAGGCTGAGTAGTTTACATGGGTAATTTCATGTAAAACTCATGATAAGCCTATGAAAGATGGTGTTACTAATCCCAATGACAGATAAAGATATTGAGACTTAGAGACCTTTAAAAACTTGCTCAAGTTTATGGGGTTAGCAAGTGGCTGAGGCTGACAGTCTGAATCCAGAGTCTACATTTAGCATTTATGATGCTCTGCTGCTTCCCTCTGCAGATAACTGTGAACAAGATCTCACACCTAAGGAATTATCCAATTTTGTGAGAGTTCAAACATCTTGGGCACCTTACAGGCAAGGGCAGATGTGAAAGCTGGGTTTGTGCATGGAAGAGTCAGACCTTTCTACAGCTTTGAGGATGGCTGTCACTACCCCATCTCATAGAGTCAGAGAGGGAATGAGGGAGGGAAGGAGGAAGGTGGGAATGCAGGAAGGCAGGAAGGGAGGTAGGGAGAGAGAGAGGGAAGGAGGAAGGAGGGGAGAAAGGAAAGAAAAGAGGAAGGAAGGGAGGGAGGGAGGGAAAAAACTGAAGTTATTGTTAAAGCATTGGGGAAGACAGAAGAAACCAGCAGGCCGCGGTCATATGTGGGGACCCCAGCCTTCATGGTGAGTGAACATGAGAAAAACCAGTAGGCCGGGGCCAGATGTGGGGGCCCCAGTCTTCATGGTGAGTGAACACGAGAGAAGAAACCAGCAGGCCTGGGCCAGATGTGGGGCCCCCAGTCTTCATGGTGAGTGAACACGGGTATAGGGGCTGGACATGAAGTAGCTAAAAACAAGCCAAAGATGGGGTGCCTAGAATATGGGAAAGGGGTGAGAACTCAAGGCTTGACTCCTACTCATTTTTTTTCTTTCCCTTCCTGCACTTCTAGACCTTAACTAGCCCAGATGTTAGACATGCTCCTCAAAGTTAAAAAACACATCTGCTGGGTTCACTAAAATACTGGAGACCAAGTTTTAATATTGCTGAGAAAATAAACTGGGTTTGCAGAGAATTCTGAGAGCACAGAACAACCTCACTCATGAGAAACCCTTTGCAAACGTCTGAACTTTAAATGATGAGACATAAATATGGAAAGGACTGTTAGAAACAAAGCAAGATGAGCTAAAGAAATCTCTACACTACAATGAAAACTAAACTCTTTTATATTGAACAATGAAGGAACATGAATATGCATATTATAATCATTTAATCAATAAACATGTAATAAACAGTCAGTGCATGTTCTGAATTATACAGAATTTACATGTTTTACAAAATCACTGTGGTAGTTGTGTGTCAACTTGGCTGGGCCTGGTTGAATGGCTGGGCAGCTGGTGGTAGTTTTTCCCCATGACGAGACCAGCAGTCAACTCCATGTGGGATCTACTACAAGCACCTGAGTAGCTGCTTTAGCAATGTGGTCTGCTTCCTGTATATAAGAAGCTGTTTTGGGAATGGTCTCTAGTTTGTGGTATGCTTGAACCCTGCATGTAGCCAAGTCGTTGTTCAATAGCCTGCCATGCCCTGCCAATCTTGAGACTTTCAGTGGACTTGAATCAGTGGCCTGCTGTGTGGTTTGTTAACATTGGGACTGTGCCATTTTATTTGTTGACCTTGGGTTTGTTAGCCTCAGCAGCCAGTAGGTGCCTGAGTGAAGAGATTCCTCTAGTTTCAGTGGTCCGGGCAGAGCTGAAGCCCAAGGTCAAGGGGCTTTCCCAAAGCCTCTAGAGCCTGGCACTTGGAACTCAGACTTCTAGCCTCCCAAAATTGTAAGAATAAACTCCTGTTTGTTAAAGCCACCCCATTTGTGGTATATTCTTGTCAGAGTGGCACTAGGTAACCAAAACAATCACTATGTAGAAAATAAAGTAGATACTATTATTCCTATTTAATAGATGGCAAAGTTGAGTGCCAAAGGATTTGAGTAACTTGCTCAGCTCTCTTGCTAAAAAGATAGCAAAGGCAAAGGGCTAGAAGTACCATACTTAAAAAAAAAAAAAAAAAAAGCCATACTCCACATTTTAGCATTTGTCCCTATTGAGAATGAGATTAAGCTTCCCTTAGAGATGCCTCCATACAAACCACATTTCCTCCTGAACATCCCAGGCAAAGCACATATACAGGTAGCTGGGTGATCCTGGATAAGGCATTTAACCTCTCTAGACCTGAGTTTCCTCATAAGTAAAATAAGAAAGGAGGGATCAAATGATGTCTGAGGCTTCTTTGGTTCTAGCCTCCTGAGTCTATTAAAAATGGAATATGTTACAGTGTGAACATTAGATGCATGTTTTTAGCTCTCAGAAAACTCAGGGTTGTGTGACCTGTGTGATTTGCAGTTTCCTCATTTGTAAAATGAGAATAGTCGTAAGAATACTTGGCCTCCAAGAGCTGTCATAGGGGTTAATTCACAGTACATGCACACTGCATGTCACACAGTAGGTGCTCAAAAATGGCAGGTACTATGGTAGCCATTCGATATTTTTTATTAATGCCCCACCATGTGACTAGAGGTTATGGGTACAGTAGTGAACAAGAGTACTATTTTCATGGAGCTTACATCCTCCTGCTCCACCATCAAACACAACTGGCTAGACTTTCAAGCCATTCTGGAAACAGCCTCAGGAGGCATTCCAAGTTTTACTTCCTCTGTTCTTAAGGGTAGTCACCAGGTCTGATAGTAAGATGTTCTTGAACCTATTGTTGTTTGCCCCAACCTCCTTCACTGTACTCCTCCTCTTTCTTCTTTCTACCTGGAATATCCTCACTTTAATCTCAAGCTCAGGAGCTCTGGCAACATAGTGCCTCATGCAGTTGACTGCTAATCAGAAGGCTGGTGCTTCAAACCCAGCCATTCCTCGGAAGGAAGGTTGGGCAATGTACTTCCGTAGTGATACCACTTAGGAAACCCAAGAAGGGTCACTATGAGTTGGGTCCGACTCGACAGCACATAACGACAACAGTAAATCTCCAGCTCAGAGTTCCATGCATAGCGCCAATCTTACTTCTTTCATGAAAGTTATTCTGCCCATACCACCAGCCCATGGGGATGTCATTAGTAGTCCAGCACAAACTGTTTGCACCACCCAAAACCAAAAAAAATCCAAACCCGCTGCCATGAAGTCAATTCTGACTCATAGCAACCCTACAAAACAAAACAGGATTTCCAAAGCTGTACATCTTTTTTTTCTTAAAAGAAAGAAAGGCTGTCCATCTTTATGGAAGCAGAGTGTCTCATCTTTCTTCCACAGAGCAGCTGGTGGGCTCAAACCACCAACCTTTTAGTTAGTAGACAAAAGCTTTAACCACTACACCACCAGAGCTCCTTTAGTTCCACTCTTAAATGTTAATTCATGGCTCCTGGGTCTTGCCAGCCCTCTCCTGGTATCACAATACGTTCTCTTCCTCTGACTGTGATGGGACATATCCTCTTATCCAAGTGTCTCCAGATCCCTCCTCTCCTTCTGACCACAAGGAGATTTAAGAATGGAGCTGTTAGTAAAAGGAAGTCTGCAATTTTGATGTGCTAAGAAACTTGGGTGTGGTTTTCACTCAGCTTTTGGCTGATGAGAACCCTCCCCTCTCCACCACTTTATATCTTCACATTCAGATGTCAAGGAAGTGATAACATTTTATTTTAAATTCTATATTTTAAAATGAAGTTTTGTCATTTTACCCAAGACCACGCAAGAAGGCAGGTCCAATTTTATATCTTGCAAATATTCAAGAGAAGCCAGCTTCCAAATTATTTTGAAATCTCCCAGTTTATTTGTTTTTTTAAGTTGACAACTAAATACTCAATACTTACATGCACCTTGCAGCTAAACAAAATGTGGCTGCAGACTTATGGGTCTATCCTAGGGATTATAGCACACAGGACCCTACATCATAGAAAAGGTATCCCATGTATATTTTGGATGAATCAGACTTCTATCCCATACTTTAGTGGGTATAACCATACTAACATAATCCTGTATTATTAAAAAAATGTTGTAAAAATAAGTTGTTTTTTTTTTTTTTCCTTTAAATCAATACATCAAAGTAATTTAAAATCCAAGAAAGTCTGAGAGAAACTGTAAACTCTGTTGATAGCTCAAACATCTCCTGTCTGTCCTTGGGTATACATTCTCCACCTGAATATGATTGTCTTTGCTCACCTACTAGTAGTGGTGTAAACCGCACTTCCATTTTAATGGACAGATACCGCTGTCTGAAGTGTCTCGACTTTGACATCTGCCAGGCATGTTTCTTATCAGGGCTTCACAACAAGTCCCACCAGAAGTCTCATCCTGTGACTGAGCACTGCGTTCAGGTAAGGTTAACATCTAACACAAAGTACCAAACTATTTGTGAGTTAAATCAATATGTTTCAGCAGTTAAAGACCTCCCTATCAAGAAAATCACAGATCTCACTTCGTTCATACCTTATAACGTTCAGACAAAGGAAATGGCGAACTCAATATCAAATACCTCTCGATATATGTATTTTTTCTTTACCTTAAAAGGAGCTCTGGTAGCACTGTTCCTAAGGCGTCTGACAGCGAACCAGAAGGTTGGTGATTCAAACCCACCAGCTATTCTGTGGCAGGAAGACTGGGCAATCTGCTTCTGTAAAGATTTACTGCCTCAGAAACTTAGTGGGGGTCACTATGAGTTGGAATCGACTTGATGGCAGTGGGTTTGTTTTGGCTTTTGAGGGGGTTCTTTACCTTGTAGATGTTAATAAAAAGCTTTTAGAGACAGGAGAATATCTGAGAAGAATTAAAGGGGGGAACAGGTGTTGGAAATGGACAGAGGGAAAAGAAAACAGCTCTAGAATGGTAAAAAGTATGCAACAGGGCCTCCAGTAGTTAGTAGATTTTTTGAGAACTTTTTTTCTTAAAAAACTTGCATTTTCCTAAACTCTAAATTTCTAGTATTTTGTATTTTGGGGAAGAAAGAGAAACATTGCTGTTTAGTTTTGCCTGAGTGTACTACAGCTGCCTTTTAAGTATTTTTAAAGGAAATTATAAACGGCTAGAAAGAGAATTCAGCCTTTTTTTTTTTTTTTAAAAGAGTAAAGAGAAACCAATAGTTATTTTAAGCAAAGAACATTTTAATTTTTCCCAGAAATAACTGTTTCTTTTTGTCAATAAGTTCCTGTGAATCAGCTTCTCCATACAGAGGGCATCACCCTGTAATTTAATGCCACGACAGTGAAGGTTGTGGGTTATTACTTTTACCAAGAGCCGCTGTCTCCTCTTTCTCTCTTTAACATAAATCATTCACATAAGTCAGGTGCCAAGATGTTGCCAAATAATATCTAGAGGACACTGCTTTTAAAAAACTGAATTAGGCTAGTCCGTCAGTCTCATTGGCCTAGGATCTTTCCATTTCTAAAAGCCTGGGGAGGACTAGGAGTTGGAGTTAGACTATGTTGGAGTGAAGGAGCCCTGGTGGTCCAGTGGCTGAGCACTCAGCTACCAACCAAAATGTCAGGGGTTCCAACCCACTAAGCACCGCTCTGCAGGAGAAAGATGTGGAAGTCGGCTTCAGTAAAGGTCTACAACTTTGGAGACTCTATAGGGCAGTTCTACTCTGTCCCATAGGATCAGTAACTAAGAAACTTACTGCCATCAAGTCAATTCTGACTCATAGCAACCCCTCCTTGAGGGGGTATCACTACGGAAGTAGATTCCCCAACTCCCCAACCTTCCTTCCAAGGAGTGGTTGGTGGGTTTGAACTGCCAGCCTTCTAGTTAGCAGTCAAGTGCCTTAGCCACTATGCTACCAGATGTCCCTAGAACTCCCTATACTAGGATCACTGGGAGTTGGAATCACCTGACAGCAACTTTTTTATGTTAGAGTGACACCATGTGGTCACTTTGTTATTACACTTTCAAGTACAGAAAAGACGTTAATGAAACATCTCTTCTTTGATTGATTTTAGCAGAGATTCTTAACCTGGAGTCTATGGATGGATTCCAGGTAGTCTATGAATTCACTGAAATTGTATACAGAATCAAATGTTGGAGTATTTTTCTGGAGATGTGCCTATGAGTTGTCTGATTTTCCAAGGAATCTATAATCCCAAATGTTGACAGCCATAAGCTTAATTCTCTTTCATGTTCCTTTCTAGCTTTGTTGTTGTTGTTGTTGTTATGCGCCGTCGAGTCTGACCCGACTCATTGTGACCCCTCCTTAGGTTTCTGAGGCAGTATCACTACAGAATAGATTGCCCAACCTTCCTTCTGAGGAGTGACTGGTGGGTTTGAACTGCCAGCCTTCTGGTTAGCAGTCAAGTGCCTTAGGCACTACGCTACCGAATTATTCTAAGGAAGAGGAGCTGTTGAATAAGTTGGATTATTTAATTTGGAGAGTTATGCTCTGTGTGTGTGTGTGTGTGTGTGTGTATTTATAGCGTGAGGATGTGAAGAAATTTAGGAAGTAAGATGATTTTTTTTTTTCTGAGGTCATGAAAGTTAAGTAGAAATAAGTCCAAAATCATTCATGATTCGACCCAAGTAAGGAAAGATCATGTTTGGACTGATCTGCCTCCCTTTTCATGCCGGTCTTTCCAGCAGATGTCAGCAAAGGAAAATGCAAAACTCCTGCTCAGGACCCTGAGGAACAACCTGCTACAAGGGCGCTGTAGGAGGAAAGAAGCTGAGAGAAGGCAGCGGCTGCCGGACCAGGTGAATCCAGAGGGCTTGGCTAGCCCTGCCCACTCCAGGTGAGTGCCTGCGTGAGTTCCTCAGTGTGCAAACCCAGGGGATCTGGGGACTGGGTTACACAGCCGCAACAGGGAATTTGCAGCAGTGTTCCTAATACTGACCATCTTAAAGAAGGCAAGAAGTAGGGATGAGGGAGATTAAGATTTTTTTTTTCCCCCCTCTGGAAATGGCCTTTAATTTTAAAGCAAAGCTAAGAGTCAGTGTATTCCCCGGGTGGTGTAGACTGTTAATGAACTTGGCTGCTAACTGAAAGGTTATAGATCCAAGTATATACCCAGATGTACCTCAAAGGACAGGCCTGGCAATCTACTTCCAAAAAAATCAACAGCAATGCCCTTAAGTGACTTATCCAATAATTTCGAGCTATTCTTCCAACCACAGGCATCAGAAAGACACAGATTTTTAACAATATTAGAATATTTGAATAACTTTGTTCTGTACCCCTAATTTTTATTGGTTTGCTTCGGAAACCTAATTCAGAATCAATCTTTTATTTAAAACAAAACAAAACAAAGATGCCCATTATTCCACCACTCACTCTGAGTGCAATAGGGTTGTTTACCAAAGTAACCTGTTTATGTAACAATTTTTAGTTCAGCCTAGATATTGATGAGCTCAGAACTTCTGATTAGAGGCTGATTCAGGAAGAAAGGATGTGTAACATTATCATTTCAGAATGTGGTTACAAGAGAAAAAAATGCATCCTCGATATCTGTTAAGTTGGGACATGAGTACAAGCTATTTTCCAAGAGGTTGTAGTTGCTGTTAGGTTTCATCAAGTTGATTCCAACTCAGAGTGACCCTGTGTGCAACCGAACAAAGCATTGCTTGGTCCAGCCAATCCTCACTATTGTTGCTGTGTTTCAGTCCATTGGTGCATCCACTGTGTCAACTGATCTCCTTGAGGGCCTTCCCTTTTTTCACTGAACCGGCACTTTACCAAGCACGCTGTCTCTCTCCAGGGACTGGTCCCTCTGATAACATATCCAAAGAAAATGAGGCCAACTCTCACCTCCTCACTTCCAAGGAACATCTGGTGGTACTTCTTCCAAGACAGATTTATCCATTCTCTGGCAGTCCAAGATATATTCAGTGTATTTTGCCAACACCGTAATTCAAATGCATCCATTCTTCGGTCTTCCTTATTCATTGTCTAGCTTTCACATACATATGTGAGGCGAATGGAACTGCAGTGGTTTGGGTCAGGCATACCTTAATCCTCAAAGTGACGTATTTGCTTTTTAACACTTTTAAGAGGTCTTTTGCAGCATATCTCCTCAATGCAATATGTCATTTGATTTATTTACTGCTGCTTATATGGTCCTTGATTGTAGATCTAAGTGAGAGTAAATCCTTGACAACTTCAATCTTTCCTCCATTTATCATGATATTGCTAATTGGTCCAATCATGAGGATTTTTGTTTTCTTATATTGAGGTGTAATCCAAACTGAAGGCTGTAGCCTTTGATATTTATCAGTAAGTGCTTTGGTCTTCATTTTCCACAAGCAAGAGTCTGTCATCTGTATATCGCCAATTGTTAATGAATCTTCCTCTAATCCTGATGCCACATTCTTCTTCATATAGTCCAGCTTCTCAGATTATTTGCTCAGCATAAATATTAAGTGTGCTGAAAGAGTACAACACTCATGTCCATCCTTCCTGATTTTAAATGCTTGTTCTATGCAAATGACTGCCTCTTTGTCTATGTAGAGGTTCCTCATGCGCACAATTAAGTGTTCTGGAATTCCCATTCTTTCCATTTTTATCCATAACTTATTGAGATCCACATAGTTGAATGCCTTTGCATAGTCAATAAAACATAGATTAACATCTTTCTAGTAAACTTTGCTTTCAGCCAAGATCCATCTGACATCAGCAATGATACCCCTCATTCCATGTCTTCTGAATCTGGACTAAATTTCTAGCAGTTCCCCATCAATATACTGCTGCAACCATTTTTTAATTATTTTCAGCAAAATTTTACTTGTGTGTGATATTAATGACATTGTTCAGTAATTTCTGCATTCTGTTGGAACACCTTTCTTTGGAATGGGCACGTATATCAATCTCTTATGGTCATTTGGCCAGGTAGCTGTCTTCCAAATTTTTTGGCATAAATAAGTGAGCACCTCCATTGCTATATCCATTTGTTGAAATATCTCCACAAGTCTTCTATCAGTTCCTGGAAACTTGTTTCTCACCAGTGCCTTCAGTACAGCTTGCATTTCTTCCTTCAGTACCATCAGTTCTTGATCATATGCAATCTTGTGAAATGGTTGAACGTCAATCAATTATTTTTGGTACAATGACTCTGTGTATTCCTTTCATCTTCTTTTCCTGAGTTATTCAATGTTTTGCCCTTAAACTCCTTCAATATTGCATCTCGAGGCCTGAATTTTTTTCTTCCGTTCTTTCAGCTTGAGATATGCTGGGTGTTTTCCTCCCTTTTGGTTTTCCAACTCCAGGTCTTCACACATTTCATTATAACCATTTACTTTGTCTTCTTGAGGCCCCCTTTCAAATCTTCTCTTGAACTCTTATACTTCATCATTTCTTCCATTTGCTTTAGCTACTCTCCATTCAAGAGCAACTCTCGGAGTCTCTCTGACATCCATTGAGCTCTTTTCTTTCTTTCCTGTCTCAGTGACCTTTTAATTTCTTCATGTATGATGTCCTTGATGTTATCTCACACTCATCTGGTCTTTGGTAATTAGTGTTAAATGCATCAAATCTGTTCTTGAGATAGTCTCTAAATTCAGGTGAGCTATACTCAAGGTCAGGAGCTCTGGTAGCATAGTGTCTAAGGCACTTGACTGCTAACCAGAAGGCTGGCAGTTCAAACACACCAGCCACTCCTCAGAAGGAAGGTTGGGCATTCCTACTTCCGTAGTGATACTGCCTCAGAAACCCAAGGAGGGGTCGCTATGAGTCAGGGTCGACTTGATGGCAAATAACAACAACAACAACATACTCAAGGTCATGCTGTCACTCTCATGGGCTTGTTTTAAAATTTTTCAGCTTCAACTTGAACTTGCATGTGAGCAACTGATGGTCTGTTCCACAGTCGGCCCCTGGCATTTTTCTGAGTGATGATATTGAGCTTCTCCATCATCTTTTTCACAAATATAGTCTATTTGGTTCCTGTGTATTCTATCCAGTGAGATCCTTGTGTATAGTCACTGCTTTATGATGCTGAGGGGTGGGGAGGTATTTGCAATAAATAAGTCATCGGCCTTGCAAAGTTCTACCATTATCTTAGTCATTATTTCTAACCCCAATGCCATATTTTCCAGCTACTAATCCTTCCTTGTTTCCAACTTTCACCTTCCAATCACCAGTAAGTATCAATACATCTTGATGGCATGTTTGATCAATTTCAGACTGCAGAAGATAGTAAGAATCTTCAATTTCTTCACCTTTGGCATTAGTAGTTGATATATAGATTTGAATAATAGTCACATTAGCAGGCCTTCCTTTTAGGTGTATGGATATATCTTGAGATGTTCTTTTTGATGATGAAAGTGATGTCATTTTCAGTTTGTCATTCCTGGCATAGCAGACCATATGATTGTCTGATTCAAAATGGCCACTGCCAGTCCATTTTAGCTCCCCAGTGCCTCCAAACCAAACCAAACTCACTGTCATCAAGTCAATTCTGACACATAGTGACCCCCATTGGGTTTCCAAGGCTGTAAATCTTTATGGAAGTAGATTGCCCCATCTTCCTTCTGTGAAGTGGCTGGTGGGTTTGAATCACTGACCTTCTGATTAGCAGCTAAATGCCTTATCCATGCTATGCCACCAAAGCTCCATAGGATATCAATATTTTTGTTTTTCATTTCATTTTGGTGACTCCCAATTTTTTAAAGTTCATACTTTGTACATTCTTCATTCTAATTATTAATGGCTATTTGCAGTTGTTTCGTCTGATTTTGAGTTGTGTCACATCAGTGAATGAAGGTCTCAAAAGCTGTCCTCCACCCATGTCACTAAGGTTGACTACACATTGAGGAGGCAGCACTTCCTCAGTCATACTCTGAGTGCTTTCCAACTGAAGGGGCTCATCTTCTGGCACTGTATCAGACAGCATCCCGCTGCTGTTAGTAAGGTTCGCACTGGCTAATTTTTGTAAGGTAGATCACCAGGTCCTCCTTCTAGTCTTAAAATGGAAATGCCTCTGAAACTTCTCCCCTATGGGTGACCCTGCCGGCATCTAAAGTACCAGCGGCATAGCTTCCAGCACCACAGTAACATGCAAGTTACTACAGTATGATAAACCAACAAAAGAGTGGTGGTAGAGAAATAGTCATTGCCAAATGGTCCCATTGAATGCATTCTTTGGTCCATTTTTTGATCTGCATGGCATCCAGCCTTCTCCTTTTTGATGTGGATTCACTTATCTTACACATAGTGGTTCACACTGAGAATACTTCCATTACAAAAGTATAATTAAAAGCTAGGTTCAAAATACCTCCACTTTTAATAAATATTTTGGAAGGTCTTGCAAATAAAATCAAAAAGAGATTTGAAGCATTGACAAAGAAGGGAAAAAATTACTTTCATTTGTAACTAATATTATTAATCAAGAAACTAGCAAAAAACACTAAAATTAATAGGCTTTGAAAGGTGATAGAAAATAAAATAAATATGCAAAAAATTAACAGGCCTTCCCTAAACTAGCAATAATCAGTGAGAAGTTTAATAGAAATCCTATAGACAATACCTGTAAAAATTATTTTTGAAAAACTTGGGAAAAAGTTTAACAAAATAAGCATGTTATTGTTGTTATGTACCGTTGAGTTGGACTTGACTCATAGCGACCCCTCCTTGGGTTTCCAAGGCAGTATCACTACAGAAGTAGATTGCCCAACCTTCCTTCCGAGGAGTGGCTGGTGGGTTTGAACCACCAGCCTTCTGGTTAGTAGTCAAGTGGCTTAGGCACTATGCTACCAGAGCTCCCTAAAATAGGCATAGGACCTATAAAAATCATAATATTTC